TGGTGACGGCGTTCCAGACGCCGATTTTGCCGGTGTGGCTGGTGGCGATGAGTTGGTTGCCCACGAAGAAGAGGGCTTCCACCGGCACTCCCAGGTGGAAGACGCCTGGAAGAAGGAACCAGAGGAGAGATGGATCGCGCCGAGGTCCTGGAGGATCCCGGTGGGACGTGGAGGACCACGGTGAGACGCAGAGGACCACGGTGGGATCCTGGAGGACCACAGTGAGATCCTGGAGGACCATGCCGAGGTCCTGGAGAACCATGGTGGGATCCCGGAGGACTGTGCCGAGGTCCTGGAGGACCCTGGTGGGATTCCAGAGGACCGTGGTGGGATCCCGAGGACCACGGTGGGATCCCGGAGGACCATGCTGGGATCCCGGAGGACCACGGTGAGGTCCCGGAGGACTGTGCCAAGGTCCTGGAGGACCGCGGTGAGATCCCAGACCACGGTGGGATCCTGGAGGACCATGCCGGGATCCCGGAGGACCGTGGTGGGATCCCAGAGGACCACAGTGAGGTCCTGGAGGACCGCGGTGGGACCCAGAGGACCGCGGTGGGACCCCAGAGGACCACGGTGAGGTCCTGGAGGACCACGGTGGGACTCAGAGGACCGCAGTGGGACCCCAGAGGACCACGGTGGGACCCAGAGGACCATGGTGGGATCCCAGAGGACCACAGTGAGGTCCTGGAGGACCGCGGTGGGACCCAGAGGACCACGGTGGGACCACAGCACAGAGGACCATGGTGGGATCCCAGAGGACCGTGGTGGGATCCCAGAGGACGGTGATGAGGTCCCGGAGGACCGTGGTGGGATGGAACGGGTGGTGGGAGAAGGAAGACCTCACCGATCTCGTTGCCGTTGCCGTCAGCTTGCAGGGCCCAGAGGATGATCTCGTTGCCGGAGGCCACCGCCACCATCTTGTCGTGGTCCCCCAACGCTCCGCCGAGGACTTTGGCGTTGAGGGCCACCCGCTCGATGAGCCAGTCCAGGCGGGGGCTGGAGAAGACCTGCTGCCACCCCGAGGTCTCCTTCATCCTGGGGACACAGAGGAGGGGGCGGGAGAGGGGAGGGGACGCGGTGGGGACGATACGGCGGAGGTCGGCGGGGTCCCCCCGCCGGTTTACCTATAGCAGACCAGGAACTGGGCGTAAGCCACCGCGATCCAGTTGTGGTGACCGCAGACGATGCGCACCGCTCCCGGTTCGGTGCCTGCAGGGGGAAAACGGGGCGGGAAGGGTCGCGCCGGAGCCGTGGGGGCGGCAAACCGGGGCGGTAC